ACTCTATTGTTAAACAAAGCACGCAACGTTTCTTTGCAAATAAACTGACAGTTTCAACATCTTGTAAATATACAGAAAACTTTTCGAAATCATACATATACATTTCCACGTACATATACAAGTACATATACATACCCATATACGTATATACACAGAGGCATACACACATTCATGCATATATATATTGTACATATATATGTATATATGTACATATACACAAAATACATGTATATGTATATATACAGATGAAACAATTCACCAAAACCTTGAACCAAACTAAACAAGTGAAATATAGTTACAACACATCAACGTGTTCCACTTGATCGAGAATAAGGAACAAAAAACAGGTGCTGTTTAAAAAAGAAGATATGATAGCACTAAAATCCTAAAGCAGCAGTGCAGTAATATTTTGTCAAAAAATTCAAATGGCATCGTTTATTGATGTTTGATGTTATGTTCTTTTTATACAACCAAAAACTTCCCGAAAAAGCAAACACCTACAGCGAACAAATGCAAATAACCCAAATAAGGGTAAGCAACACTGGTTACAACCTTTTCTACGCTGGATAATAAATGGAAAACTTGATATTTCAACGCCATAACACATGATTAACAACAATGAAAAACAAGAATGAATGAAGCTCCTCCCTTTCCCACCTGCAACAAATATGGGTCTAAATCCAAAGAAGTGAGAAACATGTAAAGCGAAAGACACCATGAACACACACGCCTGTGCGCACCAATGATTCTTAACAGAGCGGCCCGACCAGCAGGATGGTGGACGCCATCCGAAGCAACGGTCTTACTTGACGAACCACTAAGCAGAACAGCTGGAAACATGTTTTATAGCTTATCGCACCACTAAGCAAACCAGCCGAACCGATGACTTTCGTACTTTGGCGCACCACCAACCAAAACAGCCGAATCCATGTCTTTCGTACTTTGACGAACGACTAACCGAAACAGCCCAAGCCAATGTTTGTGGTTCCACCCGCCACTAGGCAAAACAACCGAAAGCAGTTTCTTTGTGGCTTGACACACCGCAAAAGTTAATTGCGTTCTTAACCTTTCAAACATTGAATAAATATACATTTGTTGCCCCAGCTGGGTTTAACTCTTCACTCTACTCTCAAACTTTACCATTCCTCTAATCCACTGGCGAATCGCCTATTCCACAGCCCACCCTCAAACCGAATATGTGAAATGAAATAGAACCTTTGAGCTTAGCACAGAAGGCCTCGAAGCCGTAGAGTCCCCAAATCCTGAACAAATCCTACGAGAAAGTCCAACAAAATATTGGGAAGTCTAAACGTTCTACAATTGAGGCCCATGAAACAAAATTTTTCATGTATAGTTAGGATTTACGACCTGTGAATACTGGCTCAGGACCTATGAAGCAGGACTTGGGGACCTATGACTTAGGATTAATGCCCCATAAAATGTAGCATTTGACCGTTGTCCACGAATGTTTAACCACTTCTTGACGATTGCCCACGATTTGTTGATCATTGCCCCCGAATGGCCTGAGAATGGCATTGTCAAGCGATTCGTGGGTAACGGCCAAACATTCGTGGGCAATGGTCAATTGTCCGTGGGCAACTGTCAACAACCGAAATGGCTCGTTGCCCACGGTGAAATGAACATTGACAACGATTTTTTCATTGCCCACAAATGCCATTAGGTTTTAAAAACACATGGAGTGCGGGTTTCTGGTTTACCCTTAGATAAAAACAGCTTCGCTGCAAGACGCAGAAATTTGTTACATGCATGGTTTCTTCAAGGTGTTCCCCCACGCGATCTTGATAGGTTTTGATAAACGAATTTTGCAATCAATAGTTATGCAAGGCACATGGAAATCAAGAAAGTGCCGTCGCTAAATTTCACAAGTCACGAGTGGTTAGAGTCTTTCTACAGAAAATATACGTAGTGTTTGCTACAGGTATTTGCGGTCTAGCAGCAGCCTCCGTTGATCACAACCGGTATTCTAATTCACGCAACCTCCCTTAATTAACGAAACCTACGCTATTATTAGCCCACATTACTTACAGAATATACTCGTAAGCTTCAGTTAAGCGATGTTACCTCTAATACACGAAAAAACACCTCACTTAGTCTACATGATTAGTGTAGGTCGCCTCCGTAAACAGAGGGTTCTTTAATCAGCGACTTTTTTCAGATATGGGTATGTCTGTACATTTAGATATACTATATACAAATAACTAAGCATTTATACGTGAATATATATATATATATACACACATTCGTATACATACATAGACATATATATGTATATATGAAGGTTTTCCTCATTATCGTTCCAACTCTTAACTCGAAACTCCTCTTGCGCCCACCCTTGTGCAGTTTTGTGCGCCCGCAAATTGAACCACAGTCTCACACTGAAGCATACTGAGGCCGTCAGAAGCCTATTCAAAAAAACAAGCTGTGACCCAACATGTGCTCGTGTTCAGGGTTTCTAACCGTCTCCCAACATTATTATAGATATGATGAAAGTATAGTCTAAATCATATAAAGACACTATAAGTATTATGACTTCGCCGCAGCACCTGCCCTTGCCCATAATTGTGCAGACATGGAGCCCGAGGGAGCCACACACTTACATTACATCAAAATACTGAAGCACACTATGAGTCTGCATTGAAGAGGAGGGGCTTGAGATAATCCCACAGGTATCTGTAGTTTGTGAGCCGAAACAGATTATACGCGTGTCCACGCGTTTCGTTTGCATTGCTACCAACCACCAGGAATCGGCACCAGCCCGACAAGAACCTCACTCAGATTAGGGAATTCTATGATATCTAAGGCATTAGGGCAGCATTAAAGCTTTTGTTTTTTGTCGCAACTCACACGGTCCGTAAACACACCAACACACGAGCCGCTTACACGGCCACCAATGACCAAATTATGAAAATGCTCGGAACAAAACCTCACGAAATTTGCCGGATTCCATCCACGTTCTCGCTTCGTGCCCACATCCGGCTGCCATTGCCCTCTGCTTCGTTGTTCTCGCCGATAATCCCGGTACTCTTGTTTGCTTGCAGCGCGATAAGCCTGCCACTTCTCCTGGTCCGTGGCGAAGTCGTCCAAGTTGTAGGGTGCGCGGCCATGCTCATCACGTTGCTGCAACAACTGTTGAAGCCTTCTCTTCTGCGATGCTGTAAGCGAGGATGGTCTCCCCGTCGGTGAGGCAGGAGCAAAGTTCTCCTGTGGCGCGGATACCTCTCCATCGTTCCTGTCCCAAGCGGGGGCATCCCCGTGCTCAGTGTAGTCGGGTGCAACCGGTGCAGTGTTGTCCTCAGGAGCGAGGGCTTGCAGCTCGGCGCCATCCTCGAAGATGTCGATGGGCGGGTGAAAACTGAGGTGAGAGGCTGAGGTCACAGGCGACTCGGCTTGGAGCTCACCCTGTGAAGACGGCGGGTTCTCAACTTGGGTCTCTTGGTAGTCCAGCATGGTCAGATTCGCAGTCTCATCCTGGTCCTCGATGTAGGCTGGGGCCAATGGTGTAGCTTGCGGTACGGCACGGGCGGCACCAGCCTGATGCGGGGAGATTCCCCGAAAAGCTCCCTTGGCGGCTTGGTTGTCACCCTTCGCTGTGCTCGAGGTCATGCTTTGTGGAGGTATATCTCCTTCCACCGTGGGGGCGAGCAAGATGTCATCCAAAGCTTGTCGTGTGTCAGTGTCGTCCTGGGTTCCGCACTGCCAGTTCGCTAAGGCCTTGTCAAGCAGCGGTCGGATCTTGTCCGGCTGGTTCTCGATGTAGTTGCGGAGGTCACTGGCTGCACGGGGTCTGTTCTCCAGCGTGAGCCGCAGGAGGCGCTCTCCTTCTTTGGTTGTGGCGCGGCACTTGTTCACGTGGTCCTGGTAGTTTTCGAAGTCCTTCCATTCATGCTCTTTCAACGGTCGTTTTTTCCCCCCTTTCCTCACAAAGTACCTGCCTTGGTTGAGGTCATACCGGACGTCACGGTCGCTCCATTTCTGTTGCGGCTCAGGGGCCTCCGGGAAACGAAGTCTGAGCCCCAGGTTGTCGAAGGTCGGTGGTGGTCGTACCGGTAGTGCGAGGTTCTCGTCTTCCTCACCTCCTGCTGGGGTTTCTCCCTGCGTAGCCGTGGTCTCGGTCTTGGGCTTGGGGCTACCAGCTGGCCTAGAGGAGGAGGCAGAGGCCGTCATGGAGGTTTTCCCCCTTTTCGTCATGTGCCGCTTAGCCCTCCAGCAAGTTGGACGTAGGCGTGGATATAATTCACAGTCTCCCTGATAGTCACGATCTTGTAGTAGTTCCGGTCCTCTCCCACAGATGGCGGCACGCGCGGGTTAGGGAAGAGAAAGGGCCACTTAAGCCTGCGGCTTCGGCGCGTGACTCAAGCACCGCTGGGAGAAAGCGACGGGAGCTCCCCCGAAGACAAGCTTCAGGTTAACCCCGCGCCTCCCCCCCCGATGCAAGGGGGTGGAACAGACCCCCAAGCAAAGGTGCAGTACTTGAGCCAAAATGTCTCTCTCTCTCTCTCTCTCTCTCCCTCCCGGGCATGGAGGCTGGTCAAAGCCTACGGGCATCATGCCCACCCGAAGTGTTTTCGGGACGAGAGGCGTGAAAGACGAACATAGACTAACAGAAGGCTACGGCCATAAAGTATACGATGACAGATGCAAGGTGGTCGTATGTTCTCCGAAGAAACATGCAAACAGCCGATTTCCCCCATGAGCTGATTCGAAGGTCGCACAAACAATCAAACTCTTTACAATGTAACATATTGTACAACACTACTGTATTCAGTTGGAGGATGGTTGCTCGGCTGCTTTATTCTGCGGTTTCCCCGCCATGGCTTTATATTGCCTTTTGAAGCTGCCTCTACAGGTTAAGGGTCGAAGCTCTCTTGCTTGCACACAGCCAAAGAGAAGGTCGAGCCCTCTCTCTCTCTCTCGCACGCTCTCGGTTCTTGTATGCCCATGCATTCAACTACACTCGCACAACACAAGTTCCTCGAGTGTCAAACCATCCCGGTCATGAAATACCGACATCTCACCCATTTCTGGGAGTAAGTGTAGTGTAGCAACATGTGGCTGTTTACGTTTGCTTTCGGAATGGCAAATGCAGAATGCGCCTCTGTCCGCTTCGAAGACGGGTCGTGCAGAGAAGCTAGCAGTGGCAGAGCGTCGGACGTTGTCGCACTGAGTGTGGCAGTTGTGACTGCGTCCACGTGATCTTGGCCTGCGCAGAGTGGCCGTGTAAACAGAGAATCACAAGCTAACGGCGAACCTGCATCCTCCTTCTTCGTGCTGTTCGAGGAAGCGTCGGTCCGAACCTTCCCGCATCTGTCTTTTTGTCAAATTCTCCAGGCTCTAGCCTAGTCTGGAAGAAAAGCAACTTCAGAAAGCCCAAACAGCCAAGAAGCCTGTCGCATGTGTAGCAGCTCGACCACGTCATCCTCACCAGGATTAGCAGCTATTGCCACCTCGAATCCTGCAAACTGCCTTCACGACAACATGGACACTTGTCACAGCATCCTCACAGGATAGAGCTGAAGCCGCAGGAATCGTGAATGGGACACTCAAAATCCAGATCACCTCGCAGGACATCCAAGCACCTGCATGAACATGCCAACCCTGCATGACTGATTAAAGTTTTAAGCCAGGCACGGATGCCACAGACACTGGGCCATGCATCCGGATGTCCCACTCTCGCTACCAAGTAATACACAAATTGATACTTCGATATCGAGCCCAAATGCTTCTGCCGAATTCAGAGAAAACCTCCTGACGAATTCACGCTTGCTCCCCTGCCGACACAAGCCACAGGATTCTCTCAATGCCACCGCACGGGAGGCCACTGTAAATTCCGGAAAAGAGTCACTTCCAGATTTTGCCTTGAGAAACATCTTATGTACAGGTTGGAAATCCGGCCCCGGCCCGTCTCGAAGTTGACTCCGACTCCACATCAGGAGCCCGAGGCTCTCAACGGACCTCCGCGGCAAAGCAGTCAGGCAGAACAGTTCCCGAAATAAACTCCGACTTCCTCTGTGGCTCCTTACTGACTCCTTACTGCAATGTCGTGGTCCCAATTGTGCAGTTTGAGGCTGCCGCGTGGATACCCTTGACACCAGAATGCTTGTGGTATTCCTGCACCGCGGCCTCATGCACAAGTCAGCAACAGCCGGAGGCAGAAGATAGGCGAAAGGCAGCTTGCTTGCGTTGCCTCATGCGCTTCCTGTCTCAGGTCCAAAACCTGCCAGCGTTTTGGGCCTAATTTTGCACTGATACTGCGAACAGACCGAAGGCCTTCTGCAGCTCTTTGTAGTGGCCTTTGGTCCGATGTCCGAAAAGTGGAGGAGGCTGGCACGGATTGCGGGCATCGCCATTGAAAAAAAGGGCCCCGAAGGCAAATGGCAAATCCAAGAGCGTGGCAGTCGGAATCAGCCCAGCTAGAGCCAGGAGCTGCCTTGCGAGTGAAGCAACGGAGCAGCCCACGAAGAGGCTCCCGCCGCACCCGCGCAAGCCCAAGCCCTTGCAAGCCCCAGGCCTCGTTCCTGGATTGAACTGCGCACCCACACCAAGCCAGAACTGAGACCAGCAGAGCAGTCATCCGGCGTCGATTCACATTGTCCCACCTAGCCTTCACTCTGGAGAAGCGCAGGCGGATCTCCTTAATGTTGGATTTTACCTGGCAACTGACGCACCTCCAGAAAGGAACTGTCGTCCCCCAACATATGACCTTGGGGGCATAGCTGCCCAATACCTGCATAGGCAGAGATGTGCAGCGAGCAGGTTTTCACAGCTCGCTAGAGTAGTGGTCAGACTGGCCTCCATGTGCTTGCCATTTTGCGGATCGCGCTGGTTGCATGCCTGTAGTCAGCGCAGGCAGACAGCATGCTCCTAGCCTACGGTACAGCCGAGGAAAGGACCACCAGTTTGAAGAACCTCGCCAGAAACGCATAGATACAATCTGACTGATAGATGCTCACAACCTTCGCCCCCTCGTTCCCACCACTTGCTGACGGATTTTGGGTGGACCGCGCTCCTGACACGCGGCATGCTACAGCCGGCTTTGCTCAAACTTCCATGGGTTGCCAGGCCTTGGAATAGAATGGCAAGAACCTGAGCACCCGCGCAGCCCGCACCAACGTCTGCGGGATTGAAGCTTGGCTTGGGCTGGTGCATTTTCCTCACTAAGCAAACGCTTGATCGCAGCATCGCGCCGCGAGCTCGGAGCCACAGATATGATGTTTGTCGACAGAAATAGGTGGCTAAACATCATGGCAAGGCCAGCAAACCAAACTTGCTTGTCACTTCGCAAGCCATATAGGTGCAGGCTTTCGAAATCCGTGGGGCCTCACTCAGAACGAGGTTCGCTCTACTTCGTTGTGCTCAACTTCATCTTACATGATCCTTTAAAGAATGGCCCGCCCAGAACAAGCCAAACGTAGACGGCTGCAAGGCAAACGCGATGCCAAGACAGGACAAGCTACAAGAGGTCGGCGATGGCTAACCGCACCGTGATCATCTGATATCAACTGTGAAAAGTTGTGACGCGCAGGAGAGCAGAATCAAAAACAAATACACCTTCGCGAAGCTTTAAGGTACTTGCTTGCTGCATACGTCAGAAATGCAGTGCTGCGCTAACGGCGTGCTAGCCAAAACTCTCGAGGTGCAATGGCTCCTTTTTGGTCGTGCGAACTGTGCCCGGCTGAGCAGACCGCCCCAGAACCGGTGCCGGTGCCGGGGTGCGCACTTCTGTGCCGCACAATCCGCACACACAACCGACGCTGAAACGGTCGTGGATTACGGGGATCGGGGGAGGCGTCAGAAAGATCGGGCCGAACTAAGGAGGAGGCGCGGCGTCGGCCCGGTCGAGCCCGTGGCCTTGATCGAGGGGCCGTCGGGGGACCGGCCGAAAACGCAACCGCCCGCCTTCGCTGGGGCGGCTCAAGCCCTCGGCCGGAGGCCCGCCGACCTCGAAAGAGAAGACGGTGCTGGAGAGGTGGCCGTAACGACGTGCTCGCAAAAACGTGCTCGCAAAATCTCGCAAATGGGGCTGCCGACCATCGGCGAAATTAGTGTGGGGTGCCGCTCCAGACGAGGGCAATAGTGGTGGGGGCCTCGCCCGACATGGGCAGCTCGGCGAAAGCTTCCCCAACTCCCGTCGCAGGCGTCTCCTCCACCAAGGATGTAGAAGGTCGACGGCGAAGTCGGCGCACTTGGCGGCAACGTCGGCGCAAGGCGAAGAGGATGCAATCACGGCGACGAGAGGATAATGGGGGAAGTCAAATCAGAATGCTAGTCGGCCGACCGCTTACGCTTGTTCCTACGCGCACACGTGCGCTACACAACACTGCAAAACGGAGCACGCTGCAACGTCTTCGCATTTTTGCATCCAGCAGAAGAGCAGAGTGGCGCCAACTCGCGACATCACTCAGAGATTTACTCATTCTCGCGGGCAAGGTGTGTGAATGCTGGGTTCGATACATGTGAGCAAGGTAAACTTCCACCTGCCCGCGCCCGGAAAACGACGGAGATCAGACGCAGCCCGTGTTCATGAAGGTGAAACAGATTGGCTGATGCAAAAATATTGCAGACTCAAAACAGTTACCAGAGTTGAGATTTCATTCGTGACCCAATGAGGAGCCGTGGGACTAGATACAATGATTGACGCTGCACTCCACCATTGGAGTGGCTGGTAGCTGTGCAAGGACGAAGAGCTTGCAGAGTGAACTCTGAGCATTTGTCAGGAGCTCAAGCGGAAAAGCGGATGCTCAGAAGCAGACTTTCGCACACTGCCTGATCCCTAAGTGGTGGGCAGCTTTCGTGCAATCTCCTAAAATGCCCAAACCAAAGGTTGAGCACTGCTACCCCGAGGCAACCAGTCGAACTACACAGCAGGCCTCGTTCATGGTAATGCTGCTGCATACGAACTGTAAACACCAAAGCTCGTGTGATGAAGTTCTTGCCTGCGTGCGGCCGCAACAACATCGCGGCAATGGGTCTGCGGATGCTGGCCGAGAAATACTTTTGCCATGACATCTTCGTGCCGGTCATGCAAAGAATTCCCCACCGTTAAACAGCTGCTCTACCTCAGCGACTCAGCTGCAAAGGCACTCGACCCTGCAGGCCCTAGTGCCCAGAACTCAAACCGACTGCAACACGCAAATCTGCGTCCAAGACCGTTGGGAGCCTCCCGAGACAGAGTTGACCTGAGCTAACAACGCAAGCGGATGCAGGCGGCTTTTTTCATGGTAAAGCCTTCCCCACCGATTGATGCCGAAGGCCGCCACCTTTTGGAGTCTTGATCTCCGAACGTCATGAGGTTTCTTGAGGGAATTCGGAATGGGAATACCCTACAGTATATACTGCGGCACATCGAAAGACAAACCACTCACTATTACACCACCGCAATGCTGATCCGAACAATGGCAGACCTCCCCCACCTCTTCTCGATCCTAAGGAAGTCACTTGCCAGGATTACAACACCACGCTGCTGGCTATACTGAGTCGAGCCTCTACTAATGGGCCAAACCTCCATGATTGTTTGTTTGTGCGGTGATCAAACCTCTCGTCTGCAGCATCTCAATTGTAAAACGCTCTGCACGATCCCTCTGTAGATTGCTGTTCTTGTGAACCTTGTGGCCGCATGCAGCGAATGCTCGGACAAGACTTGAGCCACAGACGATCCATCGCATCCACAACCAACCTGGGGAACGCCCACTGTTGGGCCAGACCTGAGGAAATGCCAGAGGCGGATGCAGCACGCCGCCTCAGGCATTGTCCGAAGAAACGCGAGAAACAAACCTCAGACAGGCACGCAACTTCACATTGCTCGACGAGGGCCACCTGCTTCTGGCTGTCAGTGGCTGTCAGATCTGGAATTCGGCCGCCTCCCAGAATCCCTCGCTTGGATGGTGCCTCGCTGTTCACACCAAGACCTGGCGCCGCTCGGTCTAGTGGTGTCTCGAACAAAACGGCAGAACCCCATGGGAGCACCTCTGGCAGGTTTGTCATCAGCCTGGACCTCGAGATCTGGCTTAGCCGCTCTCGGAGCTCTCAGAGACACTCCGTCCCCGTTTTGCTGATGCATCTCTTTGAGGTTGGCACGGGCACCGTGACCAGCTCCGGAGCCGTCTCAGCGTCCGTCGGCCCGCCTGTTTGCAAGACAACGCCGCTCAAGGCCCTCTTCATGGGAAGACCCTAAGCCCGACTGCAACCTGCAAGCGAGGCTTCCTCGGCTTCTGTGACAGCCTGTGAGCGGCCGCATGCGCCCACATGGAGCATCATGGAGCAACGTGGTTCGATGCAGCGCTCCTCGTGCTTTGCAGCAACACCATCACCTTCAGTGGACCCGGTAGATCCAGGTGGTGCTTCCGCCGGTGCTGCGGGCAGCGTCCTCGAGGTGCTTCAGACTTCAGAATGAACCCTTGCCGGTTCGCTCATCCTTCAAAAACTTCTGCACATGTCTCCTGTCAGTCTCTAGCTCAGGTGGCTGAGCTCCAGCCTCCACCTGGGTCAAAGCCAAAACACTCCCGTGCACTCTAATTTCCTGCTTGGGATGTGGCGTTCGACATCGCGAAAGCGCTACGAAGCAACAAGGCGACTCGTTACTCATCCGACATGTCCAAACCAAAAACCATCGACATACAAAAGAAACATGCCAGGACTTTCGAGATGCCCGGAACGCACCATCCCCATCCTAGGGTCCTTCTGATATTGTTCAATCATTTCCGTCGTTTTCCAGTCATGCCATCAGTCATGCCTTCCCTGTCCGGCCCTCCTTCGTCCATCATGCTTCCCTCCTCTGTTTCTTTCCCGTCCTGCCTCGCTTCTTCCGTTCTTCCATCGGAAGAAACACAGAAAACATGCAGTACGCTGACGACGTGTTAGCCAAAACTCCTGCTAGGGTGCGGTGGCACTTTTTGGTCGGAGCGCGAATTGCGCCCGGCCGAGCACACCGCCCCTGAACCGGGGTGCCGGTGCCGAGGTGCGCACTACTGCACGCTTCTGCGCCCACCCCAGGACAACCGCCCGCCGGGACGGGTGTCGGCCGTCTATAATCGGTAATCAAAAACCACACAGGGTGGCGAGGGTGGGAAGTCGAAAAAGAATGAAAAAAGCGATCGGGCCGAGATTCTTCGGTCGATGGCTGCTGCTTGTTCCTACCCGCACACGTGCGCAACACAACAAGCAGTACGCTAACGGCGTGTTGGCCAAAACTCCTACTAGGGTGCGGTGGCACTTTTTGGTCGTAGGGCAGGCCGAGCACACCGCCCCTGAACCGGTGCCGGTGCAGGGGTACGCACTTCTGCGCCCGCCCAGCACACCCACCTCCCACAATGGCACGGTCGCCGCCCTGCCGAAAATCATCATGACCTCGTCGACGGGGGCGTGTATCCAGCCGTCGCGCCGGGAGACAGCGTCCGAGACTCTGTGGAACTCCCTGCACCACGCTTGGTCGGCCGCCAACCCCCATGCGGCCGGGTCTCGCCCATCGCCCTTCATGAGGGCGAACTGACCCGCGACATTGTCGATGAAGGCCAACCAATGAAGGGCGAGGCGGCAGGCGAGGTGATGACCAAAAGCACTTGCGCCAGGATCTCAAGGACGTAGATGAACGCCCGTCGCGAGGCGAACGGCTCCCGGTGTTTGGGCCGGATCACGCATCGTCGCACCCGGCGCAACCAGAGACGGACTGGGAAAAGAGCGTGAGCCCGGCAAACTTGGACGCCACCTCGGGGTGGGCCTTAGAAGGTTTGCAGCCCCAGTCCGCGACGTGCTCGTCCTCGGTGCCTTTCAAAGTTGTGCACGAAGTGGCCAAAAAGCACCAGCACCAATGCCCTCAGCACCATCTGGACGGCGTCAGCCGCCCTGTTGAAATTCCAGATGCTGGCGGCAGGAACGTGCCGCAGGCAGTGGTCTGGGTCACCGCCTGCTGGTCCTCGCCCCTCCGGAGCTTGACGTCGCCGTTCTGGTCGGACTGGACGATGGGCAGTTGCCCCTGGGCGGCTGACCGAGGAGGCCAGGGACGGTGCAGGTTCGAGGGACCTGGCAATGGTGCACCATGTCCAGGACGCCCTCCATGGTGGCGGACATACGACGGCGGACGCAAGAAGCCGACCAGCAAAGGTGCCCCGCTCCGCCTCTGCCTCCGCCTCCGTCTCAGGCGGCCTTGTAAGTTGTTTATACAACCACTTAAGACCCATAAGATTCGACAGAAGACCCATGTAGGAGAAATCTTCTTCACTTGAGAATTTTAGTTGGAAATTCCTTCCGGCGTCACCGGTTGGCTGGGCGTTGGCTGAGCCTCGATTTCGGTGACCGAAAAGGCTGGCGAGGCCTGCTGCTGTTGCAGCTGTTTTGGCAGCCTTAGTACTTTATGGCGAAGGCGGTCGAGAGTTGTGCCGTGTACGGCGTCGACTCGACGACTCCTCTCCGTCCTCTTCGCCTCGAAAAAAGATTCCACCTTGCATCTGGCTGGATGTCTCTTGTTCGATCTCCTCGATCTTTTCTTGAGTCGGAGAGGGGCACTCCGCTGGAGTTTCTTCTTCTTGATACTGTGCCACCTCGTTGAGGGTCATACTCAGCTTCTCGACCACATTTGGTTTCGTCGAGGAAGATCCTGCGCCTTGAGATCGTGATCTCGGTGGTGGATTGTGGCCGAGAAGCTGTTTCTGGCTCTCTGACTTCAGTTTGGCAGGGGCCGGGCTCCGCTGTCGCTGTGGGAAGCCTGACGCTCTTGCGAGCGTCCCTCATAGCCACGGCCGGCCGAGGCAGAAGGTGTCTGACTGCAACCTTCTGGGCGCCTCTGTCTGCCGCGTCCTGGAACAGCTTCCCGCATTCACCTTCGTGGCCGGCCTGTGGAGAAGTCGGCTGCTCTGTCGAGGCCAGCTTGAACGCGTCGCGATCGATGTGGCATCCCGAAAGCCGGCGGCGAGGGGATCGACGACGATTTCTGCGAAGCTGTCTGTGGAGGCCGCCGTTTGATCTACGCCCCGAGCGTTGAGGTACTTCTTGAGGAAGTCCCCGGCACCCGCTTCCTGGGCGAGCTGGTCGAATGGCACCAGCACTGCTTGCTGACGGCGGGAGGGCCAGGATAATCTGTGGGCGAAGGCGGACGACTCGAGCAAACACATGCAGGCAGCAAGGCGAGGGCCACGCAGGGCCACGCCACACTCGACAGGTGGCGCCCCACTGATCACCCGCTTCCGCCGGGGCTAAATGCGCAGCCACCACCCACGGTGCCACCAGCCCCGCACAGGTGCAGAGAAGTCGGCCCAAGAGCGGTGCGACGAGTACCACCTGCCCCGCAATCAGCCGGGCACCAATTTCCTGAAGGAGAATTGGGACAACGGCCTACACCTGGGTTGAGGCGCCCTTCTTGGAACGCCAAGTCGCCACCGCCCGTCCTGACCCTCCCAAAACTGTCTCGGGTCGACTGCGGTTGCCGCCCCAGACGAAGCCAGCCAGGTGGACGGGTGCATCACGCCCGGCGTCGCACTCCACCTCCCAAGACGCCAGTATAAGGAGGATGCCAAAGCCGGCGGCGTACAGCTCGACAGCGAGGAAATAGGGGGCGGCGACCAACTGTTCGTCGTTGGCGTCGTGGAGGAAGTTGGCGATAAAGACGTGAGCCTCAGTCCGAGTGCTCACGTCGGGCCCGGCGCGGGCGGCGTGGGGCGGGCGCCACAATCTCCTCATCGGTGTTCTCTCCAGCCTCAGGCCCGGGCGGGTTACCAGCAGCATGAGGCGAGGACGTAATCGGCGGGGTAGGCGAAATAGTATGCCCCACCACGTCCAACCCAGAAGCCGCCGCCCACTCGTCGTAGGCAGCAGCGATGGCGCGGGGGGAGTTGGAGGCAGCCATGGTGCTCTGAGAGGCGAAAGAGAAGTCGAAAAAGGCGAGCCGAGATTCTTCGGTCGATCGGTGCTGCTTGTTCCTACTCGCACACGCTACACCACAACAAGCGACACTCTTCCGATAATGATTCTGCTGATGGTCATTGCAGTCAAGGGCAGCACATCTGGCGGCGCAGGCTTTGTCTCATCAATTTTCTCTATCTTGTCCCTGAAGTTTGCGAGAGTCGAAGTTTCTTGCAAGATGAGCACGCGAGCACGCGGGTGCCGTGCTTCTTTTTTGGCCGTCTCTGACCACATCGGGAGAAGACCTGGCAGCTCAAAAATCCAGCAGAGAGCGTAGCGTAGTGCGTGGGATCAGCAAAAAGTCAAGGCCGGATGACGATCCAGTCCTGTCAAGAACAAATAGCAAGAGCACTATGCACTGCCTTTGACTTAGCCAAGGCTTCGTCCATGCATCGAGGGAGACCACGAAACTTGGAGGTTCCTTCGTCCTGTTTCCGTCGGTTTGCATGCCAGCCCAAGAGACTGCTGAAACAACATGTACATGCGCTGAGACCACACGCCTGCTGCCGTCTGTTCATGATGTACTCATACGTAGTCAAGTTTTGGTGCCTTGACTGTGGAGCATTGCAGCTAGCTTGCCGCATGCCACATTGCTTGGACTCTCGGACCGCTGCATTAAGTAGACGTGCAGGAGAACCTGGACTCAACATGCAGAGCGGGACGTAAATGTATTGGTTTTCCGTTCGCATGATCTTGACACCTGGGGCTGCCAGCCAACTGCATGTCCAAACACCACAACGGCACGTTCACGAAAGACATTGCAATCAGAGTCCTCAGGACATTTGAATTCAGAAGGTTCCAAAAGCTGGAAAGCTCAGGAACTTCAATTTCCAAGCTCACTGCACCAGAAAAGCCTCCATGGAAAGTCCCGAGTGCACCGGGGATGCCTGCCAGGACAGTGCGAGACTGTCGCATCTACATGATGCACTTCTGGCTGCCAGAGCGCCACCTCCAAGCGAGACTCGAATGCCTCCCACGAGACCAAAGCAAAATGCATTGAAGCAGTATGTTCTCACATCCAGGCCTCGTTGGTGAAATAGTCAATGAACTGATACCTGAGTCTCCAGTATTGAGTGATGCCGCAGCAATCTGTGAACATGCACGTGCTGAATGCATGGTGCGGTTGCTAACTCAGGCAGCTGCAATATGGTGCCCAGCACAACACCTCAACAGTTTCGGGATGAAGGAATAAAACCCACTTCATCCGACTTCTCCTTTCACAAAGAACGGAGTGCGACCTGCCTATCATGACGCCAACGGAGCTGATTGAAACGAAAAAGGCGTAGTAGTTGTCTCCACCAATCTCAGCTGCAGATCGTGACAAGTCTGCCCACGTGCATGCGAGGGTTTACTCAAAGGCTCACGTGCGTCAGAGGCCCAGACACAGTTGTTCAGCCACATGCAGTGGTGATCGAAAGATGCCACACACTTGTTGCAGGCCCGACCTCGTGCAGCAGACGGTGTGTTCCGTTTCATGTGCTCTTAACACGGGCCCCAGCAATGTTTGCTCCGTGCCTGCACTGTCGTAGCACACCTGGGCGCTAACACTACCAGAGTGGGGCGAATTGTGGCAGCACTGGGGCCAAAGGCAGACCACAAAAAGGTAGCTCTTCAAGCTCCTGGCGCGAGAGTAGCTTGTGCCAAGTCCAAAGCCGAAAAGCACTGCTTGAAAGGCCTCGTCTTTGAACTCGGATTCCTGAACGAAAAACGTAATCTTTGCCATGCTTCTCTTAAACGTGAAGTGCAGAAAGGGTCCCGCATGATTGCACTACACCCGTCAATGAAAGTTCTAAGCATGGTTTTGTGATGCTGTGAGCCATGTTTACGGTCATGACAATAGACATCGACATCTGGGGGCGTCGCATCCCGAAGCACGAACGGGTCGATGGGGTTGCACTTGGTTGCAAGGAAGGTAGAAACGACCAGGAATCCCACGCTGATAAGGAAGAAGCAAGTCACGAGGACCTGAGGAACCCATGGGAGCCGCGTGGTGTTGCAAGTGTTAGTCGCAAGAGGTTACGGAATTCAGCCTGCGCAAGCACCGTCTCAATCATGGGAACACAAAGCGTCAAGTACCTGCCGATAAGCAAGTATCAGGTGAAATTTGTAGCAAGACACCTGCAAACGATCTGCAAGATGAGGCCAGTGCACAACGAAGTCTGTTCCAAAAACAACCCAGCTGACCACCTGATGTTCGCCGGCTGATGGTTTTAATGTTGCCAAGTTTTGCGCCTTTAGCTTTGAGGTTGTGGATAAATACAAGTTTGGGGTTGCAGGTTTAGTGTCCGTCTGGCTTAGCCGGGATAATGCGCTAAAGTCTTGGATTAAGTACGTGTGGTCTGTTTTAGAGCTTGGTGCTACCCTTCAAGCGTCACCTCTTGGTTTTACACCCGGGGCATGTCCGGAAAACAGTTCTTGTTCGATGTGTGTTTTCCTTTCTCACGATCTTCTCTTGATGGTCTGTGCTTCCGTCTCGTTGAATGGGTGGGTAGGTGATTGGGTGAGCGACTCCCTCTGCCCCCCTGCTCCCTCTGCCTGAAAAATACAAGAGCAGACCCTCAACTGGACATGTCCATCATGGTCCGCAGTTGCACACAGCGGGTGCAATCACTCAGCAATCTGCTTCCGGGGTTCGGCCTTGAGCCAGTCCGGTCATGTGAACAGTCAATGCCATCAAGACGTGTCACACGCAATGTCAGCGCACTCAAATCTTGTGAGGAAGCAATGCTGTCATCTAACACTGCCCCTCTTGCACCATCTGCTCGACTCCCCGCCTCCCCGCCTCACACCCCGCACCTCTACCTCTGGCCCCCCCCCCTCCGACTCTTCCACCTGCCCCCTGCACCGCAAATGCTTCAGGTTGCCAGCCTTGAAATAAGGTGGTGTGGGGCACCTACCGGCTCTTGTTTGCTCTCCTCGCGCATGTCACACAACCTCACGGAGCTCGTCAAGCTGCATCGCCAAAGCTACTGGTTCCTCGACAGGGCCGTTATCCAAGAAGGATGACACAAGGCAAGACAGTACTGCTGCTGCTGGCTTCTGCTGCTGCTGGAGCGAAGTCCCAACGAAGATAAGGGGCCGCCTGCGTGCACCATCTCTCCGTCTAGAACCGGGCCGACCCCACTGCCTTGCGAGCGACAGCATCGCCTGGAGCCGATGCTAGCCCATATGGTAGAAATATTCACTGCGAAGAAGCTGAAGAGGCAGTGTAGCTCGCCGCCAATCCAACAGGGGACGATTTGCCCCGCCCCCTGCTATGACTATGAGTCTTGGCCGCTTTACCGTTGCAGGCCGTATTTGGCTCATGTAGACCTTGACAGTCACCGGGATTCAACGGATCAGTTTTGGATCGCACGCAACACGTGCTTCGTCCAAGAATTGGTGTAGCGGTGTTGTCAGCGGCATAGTGAAGAAGGAAAGCACCAGGTCGTGCCATGTCATGTTCCGGCGATGCATCATGTGAAATTGGGGGCTCACTTCGGCAACGACTGTAACCACAAACAATGTTCGTCGCCCCGCTCGTTTAGAACTACGGGCTTGAGGGTTTAATGTTTCAGGACAGTCGAGCTTATTATGGTTTAGAGTGTTGGGTGTGACTGGGAGTCTGGGGTTATCGAAGCTTCGAGTAGTTGTCCTTCCTTCCTTCCTCCCTTCATTCCTTCCTTCCTACCTTCGTTCAGTCCTACCTTCCTTCATTCCTTGTCCTCCCTTCCTTTCGTCCTCCCTTCTTCCCTCCTTCCCTCCTTCTCTCCTTCTCTCCTTACTTCCTCCCTTCCTACCTTCCTCCCTCCCTCGATCCTTCCTTCCTTCGCCTCCTCCTTGGCTTGATTCTGTCTTCCTGCACGCCGTCGGGCGTCTAAACAGACACGAAACCAGAAACTAATAGCGCTCCGTTCTCCAAGCTCACCTGCAATGGATGAAGCGGCCAGCGGAAGCCATGGATTCGCAGCTCCTCTTGATTTCAACCAATCCCGCATGCGGCCATCGCTACCGCGAGTCTACAGAAGCTCAAGGACCAAAAGTCCTCCACGCTCTCAGCCATCGTGATTTGTCACCTGGGCCACATAGCGTCAGGCAAACCTCTGAGCAGCAATGCTCTCTCAGCTTCTGGCGCTCTGAAGGTAAGGCATTCTGCTGCAGCCATTGCTGAGAAAATTCAGCGCATTCGTGCAATACTCCCTGGCTCTACATCCAAATGACTCATGCACGATCGCGTGACTTGAGCAACGCCCGGGCTGTTCTATGAGGAAGTTCGGAGCCAGCGTGCGTGGTGTGAATTGCTCTCCTACTCATGCTGGGCCACGAACCGCAAATCAGCTGTCGACAACGTCCCTGCTCTTTTTTCGACAACATGTAGGATGTAGGATGATGAACATGTCCACAACATGCCAGTAAAGACACGCAACCTGTCAAGCCGAGTCAAAACTGAATGAGGCTAGGTCAGGGCATCTTTCTCCAGCTGATGTGTCAAGGCAAACGGCCCGCATCATCTGTCAAGACTCAAGACTCTGCACGCGTAACTCGACACAAGAACTCCGCACAAGCGAAGCAACACAAAGCTCGCTGCGACCCGTGGAGTCGGGCTCGGCCACGAGACGATCACAATCTGCTGTCCCCCCAGCATCGCGCTAGACTCCGCTAGACAGGGTAGCCACGAGCTCCAAGTGGAGACGGAGGCGTCTGAGTCACGGAGTCACGGCTGAGCTGGAACGGATGCCGGACTGCCGCTCTGACGCTGAGGCAGGGGCTGTCAACGACCTTCTTGAGGCGGATCCTGACCGGATCAAAATCCGCCAAAAACAAAACACATCAACGCCGCCACGACTGCGCCTCGCTCTTGCCCTGTGCTTTGAGGCACGGCACTCCTCCGCACTAGCGGCACAACCGCTGCAAAAACAACTTCCGCATCGAAGACCCCCCTTAGATTCAATGATTGTCCCTGGGTACAGCCACTTTTGGGAGCAGTATGTACCAGATCTGGTCAGCGCAGCACTCGGAATAAACAGTGTTCTATCGTCCTTGCTGCAGAAGCATATACATCATCTGGTGGGGCATTGTCGTCGGAGCCTGCACACAAAACCTGTTTTCCAGATAGATGATCAAACAATCTGCCTTCTTCGCTGAAGTCCCACTTCTCATCAACTGGCTGCACCTGGTTTCAGAGGAAGCATGCAAGCTCCGTGCCTTCCCGACGGTCCGGTAAGAAAAGCACATTCTTGATACCAACCCAACCGCAGATATCTTGATCGTGCAGATCCTTTCCCACGACCTCCAGCACGCAACATCTGCACACCAGCGTGTCAGCAAGGTATTGCAAACTGCAAGACCTTCGCGAAATTCCCGAATAAGCTCCTTTGCTGCACACCTCAGCGGGTGGTTTGACAAGGTTCACCGGATCGCTCACAAGGTTCCAGCAAAAAGAACCGAGTCAAAAGCGTGTCTCGGACTTGATCTCCCCAACCTTGCCCGAGATAGCACGGTCCGAGTAGAACTCCCATGTGCTGTCGAGAAAGCTGCCTGAGCCTGCGACCAGTGATCGAGAGTTCTCGCTGGGATGATCGAAGACGCGAATGGTTGCATGCCCTTCGCGCTGGCAGAGTTGGACCTGTGCAAGATCTGCCGCCCAACAAACGACCTGAACCGCTTTACCTGCTTGCAAAAACGGGTTACGTTGGGCGACAAATACTTGCAATACTGCAACTGCATGCAACTGCCTGAATGATGTGGTGGATAAGAGCAACTGACGGACTGAAGGTAGGACGGAATGCACGAAGCGATCCACTATAGTGACTAGTGACCGAGATGTCGGGACCAAAGCAAGGGCGGGCAGCGCTGAGCAGAAGCCGCTGGTCTTGAGGCCGTTGATTCCCCTTACCGGGCGTCATCATGTCGATGGGGTTGCGTGCATGTGGGCAGGTCTAGGCTGATGATCGTGTCAACCAGCTAGGATCTTTCGAATCCAAGGTTCGCAAAAAAGATGTATGGATGGCAGGCGTTCCTCGGAGGAGAACTCTTACAGCGGTTCCGCAAGCTGTGTGGCACAGCCCCAACTGCGCCTGTGCCCCACGGCCCCGGGTGACTCAACTGAGATTCGGCGATCCACTGGTCAATAGCCGGGATGTGGTCAATCAAGCCCCGAACGATCCGATTTCGCGGTTTTGTTTCTGCTAGACCATTCGAAAAGTACTTCCCATGACCAGGATGACGCGAGTGATGAAGAATATAAGAGGCTACGAAGCTGGTGGTGGTGGAGGCCCAGGTTGCTGACAATGACCGCTAGTGACGATCACCGACACCTGTGTGGCCGGATACGGAACTGACCGAAGGTTTATGTCGATAAGCAGGTCGCTTCTTGCTTCGGCCTTCGCATGAAAATCGCCATCTTACAGACGGCACCGGCTGGCATGGCGACAATGAGCATGGTGGTCCTGCGGAGGTTGCATGCTGATAAAATCTGACGGAATGACGGATTGCGCGTTTTGCCCTTGTAATACCGAAAGCAAACCTTCGAAACAAAAAATCATGTTGAATCATGTTGCTTTCGCACGTCCATTTTCACAATGCCTAGGCCTGGTTTTGCTTGTATGCACTGTTTCTATGTAACACACTTAACTTAATACACAATGTAGCCCCATAACTTCCTGACATGCTCGCGACCAAGGAATGCCTGGGTCTGCGGGATCTGCCCCTAACTTTCTGTGTGGTATAGAGTTTGTTTGTAACGGTGCTATGTTGCAGACCATTCGCGGAAATAGGGGACAAGTCAAAGCCGAACTGAACGCGAAAGTCTGTGCGGACGAAACTTTTGGTCACTTCTTCCCGTCCGGATGGTAACGAACTGTCTCGAGCTCAACTCGATGCGCACGCAAGCCGGTCAGGGATTCGCACGAGCAGCATAAACAAGCTGGGCAGCTTGAGTGCCTGGAGTCGAAGCCACCCTCCAGCACACTCTCGGGCAGCTGGTTGGAGGGCTCTGCGCACAGCTGAGCCAACACTTGAATGTAGTCTGGCTGCGATCTCCTTCACCAACTTCATCGACAGCCACGATCTGCAT